TATTTGTAGAACACTTAGGATGTTCTGGGCCAGGCTGAGTGGCGGTGGATGGGGGCGGTGGAGTAGGGAAATGCAAAGCAGGAGACTCGGCCTTTGCTTTCTAAAAGCTCCCAGTCTATTTGAGGCCAGACTTATGCATGCAGAACATTTGGGAAATGGTACAAGACAGCAGCAAGCGTAGTGCTGAATTGCACATAATCAGGTGCCAACTGCATTCCCTTCCTTAACTAATCTGAGTCTTTTAATACCAGATGGGGACCCTGAGAATAGATTTCCTATCAAACAGATGAAGAGCAAAGATGGAAGCCGAGGGAAAGGCTGTGGCTTACTCATTTTTATACCCCTTTAGCCCAGCAGGATGTCTGGCCCATAGCAACAGGAATAGGGCAGTCCACCTTCAATAATGGGCCACTCTGTGCCAGGCACCTGCTAAGAGCCTTACAAACATCATGTCACCAATCCCTCACAGCAACACAACCAGTTACTAAAGGAATTATGAATGTAATCCACAAGAAGCTGAAAGCAGGGTTCACAGATCGTACTCATCATGTGACAGTTTCAGAGTAAAGGGGCAAGCTCAGTGTTTGAACCCAGTTCTAGCAGCCTCCCAAATTCGTGCTCTCAATCTGTGCCTGGAAGGAACTACTATTGTCCATAAGGATGAGAAGAAACATGGCTGAGGGAGCACTGAGTAGGGAAGAAGAAAAGGAGCAGGGAGGAAGAAATAAATTAAGAAAGAAAGAGATACAGAGAGGAAGAAAGGAGAGAGTAAGGGAGGGAAAGAACAGGGCTTGTGTGTTACATAAACTCAGACAAGCACATGCATGTTTTAACAGGATTTCTGCAGGTCTGACGACCTCACTCCTTCCTCCCTGAACAGCCTCAGAGGGGTGCCCTAAGGAGTCCTATATGGAGGCTCATGGCAGAACGAAGGCCTTGCACCTAGAACCTTCTGAGCTCATGGATTGACACTGGGGTTGTGTATCGGTCCGCCTGGAATGCCTTCAAAAAATACCACAGTCTAGGTGGCTTATACAACAGAAATCTATTTTCTTACGGTTCTGAAAACTGGAAGTCCAAGATCAAGGTGCCAGCAGGGTTGGCGTCTGGTGAGGCCTCTCACCTTGGGTTGCATCTGCCTTTTCCCTGTATGCTCATGTGACATCTTTGTGCATGGGGGGTCTTTGGCATCTCTCCTTGTAAGGACACTAACTCTATCAGATCAGGGCCCCACCCTTATGACCTCTTTTAACCTTCATTAGCTCCTTAGAGGCCCCTTCTCCAAATACAGCCACACCGGCGCTTAGAGCTTCAACATAGGGATTTTGGAGGGACACAAACATTCAGTCTACGCCAGGGTTCATGAGGGAGGGGTCAGAGCTGGAGACAGTACATGAGCTAACTCACCTTCCAGAGTAAAGGGAGCCACAGCCACTGAAGCTCAGGTTGGATGGGGCTGCCAAGGTTGCCATAGTGAGTACATCATGGCAGGGACAACAGGACAAATGGCTCCTGCAGTCAGGGTGACTGATGGGAGGCTTCCTCAGCACTCCTGTCACTCCCTCTCTCCCCATGCAGTTCTCTGCTGTCTGTTGCAAGTTCCCAGGAGGCAGAGAGAGGGCCTGTTATCATCATCTTTCTCTCTTGCCGCTCACACTTACCTGTGTTCTCCTACTTAGACACATTCTTTGTGAGCATCTCAGGGGTGATGTCGGCTGCATTGTACAGTGGGCACGTGCGCACGTGTGTGTATTTATCTGCAAATAATACCTATGTCACAAGACGTCTGCAGGAATAAATGAGCTATTGTGCATGTAAATATCTGGTACATGGTAGATACATGAATGAATTAATATTTGTTGAATGAATAAGTGAATGAATGAATCTTCACTTGGCGGAGCATGTGTCTTCCTTGAAGGGGCAAGGATGATCTGGTAATCATCAGTTTTTACTTACTAACTGGGTCACTGAGCAAAGAAAATCAACTCAGTCATTCATTTATTCAGCATAGATTGACTGCACCCCTGTCAGAAACCAGACAGTAAGCAGAAAGTAGAGAGTTAAATCAGTATGTAAATCAGTTAAAGCAGTCCAGAGGGAGTGACAGGCAAGGAATGGAACAATGAGAAACAAAGCAAGGAGTCCTCTGATAAGACAAGGAGCCCTGAGTGCTATGGAAACCGCAAGCGGGGTACTGACTCGGGGCCAGGGACGGATCCCTGGAGGAGATGGCATCTGCAGTAGATATTCCAGGGTAAGCAGCAGGTGGCCAGAAGGAGAAAGAGGTGAGGAACTTTCCAGGCAGAGGGAACAGCACGTGCAAAGGCCCTGAAGCAGAACCACAACACACATCTGAGAAATAGTGAGGGGTCTGGTAGGCTGAGCCACAGAGGGAGCACCGGAGTCAGGGAGGATTTGTAGAAGAAGCCACAGGCCACAAAAAAGACCTCATGATTCATGTTCAATGGTTTGGATTTTATTTTGGTGACTTCACTTTACACCTACTGTTCAGAGGCAGCCAATGGCAAACACATCCAGAAGCACTTTGCTATTTCTGATCTGCAAAATGGAGCAAGTCATCTGTACTCTGCTTCTTCAGTGGGTTGTGGGGAAGCAGAAATGAGAGGATGACATTCGAGACTTTTGTGACCTCTCAAGTGCTGTCCTTATGGTCATTCAGGTACCATGAAAATTAGCAGAGCCCCGAGGGGGAGGTAGCTTGGTGCTCCCACAGTGGTGTCCTGGAGAAGTTGGCAAAGACACCCAGGGTGGCTTCACCTTCTCCTCGGCAAAGGGCTCTCCTCTGTTCCCTGAATCCTGGACATCCTACTTGGTCCTCTAGTGACCCCGAGCTTCAGCCTCACACGCCCTCTTCCCCAACAGAGAAGGCAGGAGGGAAGCAGGGACCAGCCCCTGCCCCGTCTTCCAGGATTCAAGGCTTCCCTGGCCTGGACAAGCCCTGAGCTGGCAGTTAGGAGAGCAGAGGCTGTGAATCTGATGGGACTCCCAGCAGGTCTTTCTGGCTCAGTGCCCTCATCTGTGAGCAGGGGATTCCCCAGGAGACCATGACAGAGGCCTGGAAACCAACTTCTAATCCCACATCCTGGTTGGGCAACTTCAGGCAAATTTCTAACACTAGGTAAGCCTCAATTTCTCTCTGTGGTGATGGTCAGGCACCTGCTTAATTCACAGGGCTTTGGTGGGCATCACGTGGACAATGTGGTTGCACAGCAGTTGGCAATGCAAAGGAAAGGAAGTATGTTCGTAAGCACACCTCCCCTGTTGCACAAAACAGGACACATGCTGGAATTGCAGAAAAGCATTAAATGCTGCATAGGTGAAGAAAACTATTCAGGGACCCTGGCCAAGTCACAGGCCACCTGTGGCCCTGAGCGGACAGCTCATGGGCTGGCATTAGGGGAAGCAGCTCTCAAGGGGCTTGTATCCTGGGGATTCAACTCTGTGCCTGTGTGTCGTTCAGCCTGTGTGAATGTGGTGACTGTGATGCAGTTTTGCACTGTGTGTGCATCTGCATGCCTGTGTGTTTGTGTGTCTCTCCATCTTTGTGGGCGGCAACTGTAGGTGTATTATGAGCCTTGGGTCTGTCTGTGTGTACAATAGCAATGTCTGTGCGGACTTAAGGAGCTGCGCCCATATGTTTGTGGGACTTTATGGGCATGCATGCTTGTTTATGAGGCCATATGTCCGGGCATTCTGTGAACTGCTAACATGGTGTGTATCTGTGTGGCAGAGAGAAAATCACCAGGTGGGAGTGTGGGGGCCAGCTTGGGTAAAGGATTCTTGGTGTCACAATGGGTCTCAGTGGGAACCCAAGCAGCTCAGACTTGGGGGAGGGAAGCTGTTCCTCCACCTTCCAGTGAGCAAATCTTGCATTTCAACACCACATGGCTTTGAGTTCACAGGCAGGGACGCAAACTTTGCCCTTTGGGTGAGAAGCCACCCACAGAAGGGAAATGGCTTCCTGAATCTAATCATTGCCCCTTCAAGCACTAACAACCCGTGCCAGGAGCTGATGGCTAATAAATTTTTGAGCTGGAAAGGGAGAAGAGGGAGAACCAAGGAGGAAAGAAACAGAAAAACGAGAGAGCAGTCTGGGTGCGGTGGCTCTTGCCTGTAATCCTAGCACTTTGGAAGGCCGAGGCGGGTGGATCACCTGAGGTCAGGAGTTCAAGCCCAGCCTGGCCAATATGGCGAAACCCCATCTATACTAAAAAATACAAAAAAATTTATCTGGGCCTGGTGGTGGGCGCCTGTAATCCCAGCTACTCCAGAGGCTGAGGCAGGAGAATCACTTAAATCTGGGAGGCAGAGGTTGCAGTGAGCAGAGATCGCGCCATTGCACTCCAGCCTGGGCAACAGAGCGAGACTCCGTCTCAAAAAAACAGAAAAAGAAAACTGGGAGTGTAAAGGCTCAGAGGGGCTGAGGGCTCCTTTCTCCTCCCCAACTTCCTGTCAGTAGAAGGTGGGCCCTGCCATGGGAGAATTCTGCAGAACCCTCAAGGACCCGTGGAGCAGGACGGCACCTTCTTGCTGTGACCATCCATTTGGATGTGTTTTTCACCCCTTTCTGGGTGGGGCCGACTTTCCCCCTCCCCATGAGTTCAGGCAGTGGGTTAAATAAGATTTCCCTTGAAGTCAAATGAAATCACAATGCACCACACACAGGAACACACACACACGCACGCGCGCACATCACACACACACACACACACACACACACACACAGAGTCTCCCTGGGGCCACTCAACCTACTGCCCCCTGAACCGCACCCATCAGCCAGGTACCTGGCCCCGGATCTGTCTCTTAGGGTCGCATGCTCCTGGGGGTCCCGCGCAGACCCCGGGCGGATGAGGGTGCGCGAGGGTGAGGGCGCAGGGCCGGGTGTCCCCCGCCCCCACCGTGCAGCCCTCGCCCCCGCCCCGCCCCTCCGCAGTTGCCAGCCCGCCGCCCCCTCCGCGGCTCCGACTCTCGCCCCGAGCGCTGGCGGCAGGCAGCAGGCAGCGGGCGGGCGCGCTGTGGCTCCGCGCCGCGCGGTCCGGGCTCTGTTCATTCATGATTGGTACTCGGCCCTCCGAGACCCAGCCCGAGCGCCGGGAGGGGAGCCGAGCGTGCGGCAGGAGGGGCGGGCGGACCGCGGCTCCCGCACCGCACGCGGCGCTGGCTCGGCAGCCTTGGCCGGGCGGGCGCGCTGGCCCCGTGTCCAGTGCCAGGCAGGCTTCAGGGCACCGTCCTCGGCCCTGGGCGAGGGAACCGGCCGGGCCGAGTCCTCGCGCGGGGAAGCGGTTCCGAAGGCTGGCGGGGAGCAGCTAGCCCTGAGTCCCTGCATGTGCCGGGCTGAAGAAGGAATCCAGAAACCTCCTAGCCTCGGCTCCACGCTCGCTGAATACCAAGCTGCAGGCGAGCTGCCGGTCGCTTTTCTCTCCTCCAATTCAGAGTAGACAAACCACGGGGATTTCTTTCCAGGGAAGGGGAGGGGCAGGGCCCGGGGTCCCAACTCGCACACAAGTCTTCGCCGCCATGGGGGCCGTCATGGGCACCTTCTCATCTCTGCAAACCAAACAAAGGCGACCCTCGAAAGGTAAGCGACCTCCTTCTTCCTTTTGTTCCCCTGTCTGGGTTTGGGGGTGCTGGGCGCCGAGGTGGGGTGTGCCACCTGCCTCCCTTAGTCCGGACTCCCCTCTCCACCAGGAGCCCGGACAGGTGATTATATCCAAAGGAGAGAGAAACCGGTGGGAGGGTTGGTGTGAACACCAGAGGAGGGAGCCAGAGTGGACGTTTGCCCCATCGGCGACTGGACCCCTCTGGGGCACCAGGCGCCGGGACTCTTCTCCTGGGGAAATCTCTGGGAGCCGAAGGAAGAAGCACGTTCACAGGTGGGGGTGACCGGATTCTCTGGTGGAAGTGTGTGTGACAGCTGGCGTTTGAGCACTCAGTGAGGGTGCTCCCACACTCCCACACTCCTCCCAGGCGGCTATGCCAGGTACAGACCTGAGAGTCCCTTCATCAGGAAGAGTGCTCTGTCTGCACCCCCGAAACCTCTGCAAGCCAAAAGGAATCAGCTACTGCCAGGGGTAAAACTCCCAGGCCTTATGTCCTGGTGGCTCCGGGAGTCAGGAGGAGCAACCGTGAAGGGCTGGCTGGGAGCTGAGCTTACAGCAAGGATTTAAAGCATAATATCCTGGAGTCTCTTCTGCCTGGACGCTGTTCCATCACCACCTGTCCCCAGCCGAGGCATAGCTGATCTCACCACCTGTGAGAGAGTCCTCAAATGGGTCCAGATGAAGTTGAAACTAGTGTGTTGGGCCCTGGAGGACAATGCAGGTCTCCTTACCAGCAGTTCGAAAGTTAGTTGCTGGAATAAAGAGACTGGAAGCAGTTAGGAAACGGGAAATGATGGGTTTTGTTTTGTTTAATGTTCGAATGTCACTATGAGCGGTAAGATTTTAAGTAGCTTTGACACTTAAACATTCAAGTTCTACCATCGGAGCCCCCATCCTGGATACAGGTGGGAGTTACAGCTCCTACCCTATATGCCCGATAGTGAGTAGAAGTGCAATGGGGGTAAGGGACCCCTTCTCCTCTTAGAACGCGGTTGGTCTCACCCTGGTTAGAACCACAGAGATCTACGCAAGTAAACTGTCCCTGAAACCCCCTGGAAGAAGGGGTCCCAGCTTCTGGCTTAGATCCCAGAAGCATCAGGCTGGCTGAGCCCCAAGGAAAGCGATCTCTGGGTGCAGATCTTAGGTGCTGAAGCTGGGTTGACATTTACAGCCTAGAACATAGGAAGAGGCTTTGACCCATTTGTCCAGCTGAGTTACACGTCCTGCTGGCAAGGAAGGGACTGGTTGCCCTTTTACCAGTCCTGACCAGAACAGGTCTGCAAAGCTCAGCCCAAGGCCTTGACACTCCAAGCCTCACCTCTTGCAGATCCTGGGATGCTGCTTGACTGGAGACAATTTTCAGCACCAAATCTAGGTCTTCTCCCTCATCACCTGTCTGGCCACCATGCGGTCTCAGAGGCCAGGGGACTGTGGGGACAGGAAAGTCAGGGGCTTGTTTTTAAATATTTTGCATGCCTGTGGCTCTCCTGGGAGCTGGGTGTCACAGAAAGATCTCAGGCCCTAGATTCAAGTTGAGTCTGGGTATGAATCCCAGCTCTATCATTCCCTGCCTCTGGAACCTTAGGCAAGTCCCCCCACCTCCCTAAGCCTCAGGTTTTCATCCATAAAATTCGTATGCTACTTCCTGGAAGGAAACTGGTTATGTAGGAAGTCAAGGAAGGGGGGACTCGGCTTCATATTCTGTGTTGGCTGCAGCCACCAGGGACCCAGAGGAAGTTGTTGTAAGGATGTGAGAATTGAATGAATGATGAATACGGAGCTCTTTGCATAGGGCTGGGGAAAGAGTAAGAGCTCAGGCATTGCTGTCTACCATTTCCTTCTCCTGCCCCAAACATCCAGGAATTTACCCTGGATGAATTCCTGCAGGATTCCCGAAGTACAAAGGTCTTTGCTTCTGTCTCAGATTCAAAGAAAGAGAAGAGGGGGTACTAGCATTTAGTGTGCCCCTACTATGTGCTTGCCATAGTGCTAGGTGTTTTATCAACAACTCTCATTTAACTCTCACAACAATGTTTGTTTGAGACTCATGGCAGGTTCGGGGCCAATGGGTGGACTCCCAAGACAAGCTACCAAAGCACTGAGCACTCAGCCTTTCCTGCACAAAGCCTGTGACACTGGCGTGAGTTGTCCAGGGGTCCAGCTGCATATGTTCCCCCAGGCATTTGCCCCCGGAGCAGAGTCATCTCACTGCCTTGCACAGTGGAATGCTAATCAGCAGAAGACCCTTCTATGGGAAGCAGCTTGGAAACCTGGAGGGAGTCCTGGCTGGGGAGGCTAGTGGTCAGGGATCCTATCCTGGCCAGGTCACTTTTCCCCACTGGGGTCCCAGTTTCTTCTTTGTAAAAGGAGAAATTCACATTAGGCATTTCTTCAGGTTCCATTTGGTTCTCAAATTCTAATATTTTTGTGGTTGATGCTCTCACCAGAGCTGCTGCTATGATCTCAGAGACGTGAGGCTCAGATCTAATTAGAAGTGGTCAGAAGAGAGCAGTTGGGATTTTTCAACTCAGGAATCAGTCTCCCTGCTGGGTTCAAATTCAGGCTCTGCCACTTACTAGCTGGATGACTAAGCCTTGTTTTCCTCAACTATAAAACAGGGGTAGTAGTAGTTACCATCTTAAAATAGCTGTTGTGTTGTGTGGATTTCAAGGATCATGCAAGTCAAGCATTTAGCACAGCTCTGAGCTATAAGTGGTCTGCAAATTTTAGGTACTATTCAATTTGTGGCTCTATTGTTTGGGGCTTCCAAACGTCCAGAGTAAGGCCATTTTCCAAGTAGGCAGTACATCTGAGAGTCTTAACAGCTCATTTCTGGAAACCTTATCCAGCCCTATCCAGATAACTAGGACCAAAAACCCAGGCACACAGATGCTCGTCCCTCGCTTCAGCCCTCACTGACCTCTACTCTGTGGCTTGTCCTGAAAACATCAAAGCCTGCTCAATTAAAATCCTGAATGCTTTGATAATACAATTTAGAAACATACATCGTTTTTAAATGGGGCAAAAACTCTGCATGATTAGTGCTGCAAGAAGATATCCAGCCCAACCTGGTGTTCAGAGAGAGCTCTCTAAAGGCAACAGAAATCTAAAGTAATTTAAGAGCCATGCCACTGAATAAAAATATTCAGGTTCACTTCCTGTCCTTCTCTCTGTTTGGGATCTTTGTGTGTCTTTAATTAAAAGTAGAAGAGCCCTGCTTTTGGGATTCAGCCTCTGCATTCCAGTCCCAGATAGAATTTCTGGCTCTAGCAGTTTTGCATGTGCGCATGACACACCAAGGACACTGCTCCTGGCCTTGAATGGGCAAGTGAGACAGGCTAGGGCATTGAGGAGAACCAGAGGAGGACCATACAGGTGCAACTGCCGGGCTTTTCGAGGGGGGGCAGGAGAATTTAGGGACAACATCACTAGATCAAGGCCATCTCAACAGAGAACTGCCTACTAGCAAATAATCCCACACTGCAGGGGTGGCTGAGTTAGAAATCCTCCATGACCGAGTGCAAGCATGCAGAACTTTCTGAAAGGGCTGAGCTTCGGATCTCCAGAATAGTCATAGCATAGGTGAATAAACTCAACTCCATGGCTATCAGATGCTTTTTCTAAGGCCACGTGGTGAGTTAATATGGTACTGGTTAATATAGGGCCAAACATGGGAATGTTCCTAATAGTCCCATATTTGCTCCTAGATCAATGAGCACCTCAGGGAACTTATGAAAGCAGAGTGCACCTGATGAGGCTGGGTTTAGGGTTTATTGGTCAAGGCAGTATTTTCAACCTAAAGATCTGGGAGGGTGACAAGAGACAGAAAGGCATAGAGAAGCAGTGGTCCTGTTGTCACATGGTCCTGTATGGCAAGTCATTTTAGCTTGTAAATGCTAGTTTCTTTATCTGCAAAAGGAGAATCCTGATTTATAGAAATGTTTGTGCTTTGGTCTTTACCCATCTTTGCATCTTTGCCTGTCCTTTTAATTCTGTAATACTCTCCCACCCCACCCCTTGCTACCTTGTCTAATAGTTAAAATTCCATGCACATTCCAAGACCTCACTCAGCAGTTTCCACATTCAGGAAGCCTTCTCCAAGCCCCAGAGAGAAGTGACTTCTCCCATCCGAATTCCCGTATTCTTTTAAGGCATACGTTTTCTTATGACTCACAATCGTGTTTGGAATTAGACAATCAGTGAAGATGTTAACCCCCTTTCCCCTCCACCAGAGGGCAGGGTTCTTGGGGTAGGAGTTCATCTAACTCATCCTTCACAACTCTCTGCTTGGTTCTGTGCACATAGTAGGTACTTAATAAAAAATTTTCTAGAGGAAATTATAAACAATGGCATGGTTGGCCACTCTCCATTATTTTCTAGAATTGCAGACCCTGTGGGAAAAGTTAGTTTCCCGCTGGAATTTCAGTTACCAGCCCTCTACCGGGAATGAATTCTGTTATTCAGCCTGCTGGTTTTGAATTGGCTTTGTCCATGAAATGTACCGAATCTGTTTACCATTTAGCAGGAAAGTGCTGAGAACAGTGATTCTACTCCCACTCCCCTCATAATCACAAAGGTATGAGGAACCCACGTCCAGCACCAGGCAGAGTTCTGGTCCCTCAATCCCAGAAGAAGCTCAGCGGAGCTCAAGATAGACAGAAAGAGAGAGATGGAAAAGAACAGAAGATAGAGGGGAAGGACTTACTGCCTAAAATCAGTGGGATTGTTTTGACTTCGTCTCTGGAAAAGGGCCAAGGCTTAGATCTCTTTGTCTATGTGGATGGGCCTTGCTCCATGAATGCTTTGTAAATGTGTAAGTGAATAAGTGAGCACATGCTTTAACAAATGAGTGAAAAGATAAATGATGGAATGAATGGGGGAAGCAGTAAAGGAGTGAATCAATGAAGAAACAAATGAATTATCAACTGAATGACAGAAAGAATGATGGAATAAATGACTGCATGAATGAATGAATATG